GCTGCAGGCGACGCCGGGGACGGCGACGACGATGACGACGACGACGATGAGCGCGCGAGCGGGAGACGGGTGTTTGAGCGCGCGAGCGGGAGCCGGGTGATTGAGCGCGCGCTCAAAGATTTCAGCGCGCGCTCAAAATCTTTGAGCGCGCGCTGAAAAAATTGAGCGCGCGCGCAAATCCGTGAGCGCGCGCTGAAAGGTGTGGCCGTGCCGCGCGGTGGAGGGGAGGGCAGCGGGGACGGGGAGCGGGGACAGGGGGAGCATAGTCCCTGCTGCTACCGGCTGTCCCCTCGCCGGTGTGGCCCGCGGGAGAGGCCGTGCCTCGAGCTGGGGGGGAGGGCGGCGGGGACAGGGGGGCACAGGGATTCGGGTGGGCATAGTACCTGGTGCTACAGGCTGTCCCGTAGCTGGTGTGGCCTGCCTGCATGTGCGCTTAGCAGGTGGGCAGTGTGAGGTTAAACGGAGAGAAGAATATAGCTTGAAAAAAAAAAAGAAAAAAAAAAGGGAGGCCCGCGCCGCCTGTGGACCGACGACGGGTTGGCGGAGGCGGGCTGGCTGCGGCAACGGGCTAGGCCAGCGATGACACGCAGGCGAGCATGAAGAAATCAAACTGCATTTACAAATATGTGCTCGTTGGCCAGGAGCTTTCTGAGAAGCTCCGTGGTCAAAGGATGCTTCGGTGCGTGTTCTGCGGGAACGAGTGGCAGGGGAACAGGCATGGGGCGGCGCGACATTTTCGTAGCGTGAAGGGATGTTCGCAGGTGACCAACGAAGCTCTTATGGAGATGCATTACACGAGCGGTTACGCATTTGAGGGAAAGTGGTTGGAGCGAATCCACAAGTACGAGGAGCTTCATGGTCCTTGGGTGGATGAAAGAAGGACTGGCGGGGGTCGGGCGCAGGCACGGGCGGCGTCCAACGCCCCAGTCGGAGCACGACAACATGGCAATGACGTCGTCGATTTGGATGGCGACGGAGAGGATTGCGGGGACGCGGGAGTTGAGGGGGAGGTCGAGGCTGCATACTCGCAGCGCCCAGGCAAGTTGCCGGTCGGTGAGGGCGGTTCGAATTCAGGGAAGAGGAAGCGTGTCGTTGGTGCGACGATGCAGCACAGGAAGAAGATGAGGCAGTCGGCGATAAAAGAGGTGTTCGGGTCTGACTGGGCTGCTCAACACAGGAAGTTGTGGTTGCTCTTTGTGTACAGCAACCAACTTCCCTTCAACATCTTTCGGAGCCCGACGTGGAAGGTGTACACTGCACACTTCAGGGACAAACCCGCATCAGTCCCCGTGGTTTGGCCTTCTGAAAACGAAGTCGCAGCGATGGATACAGTGCTTGAGACGGCGACAGACGTTGTTGCGGGTCTCAAAGACATACAGGAGCCGTTTGACCGTACAGGGGTGACGATCATGTCCGATGGTAGGAAGTCTCGTGATGGGAAACCCATCGTAAACTTCCTTGCTGCCGGTGCTAGAGGAGTGATGATGTATCGCACCCTCAACAGGGAGGTTGAGACTGATGATGCGCTCGCAGTGTTGGGGAGGTGGATATCGGTCTTGCACGACTTCAGTCCTGACAGGGTTAACGCCATTTGCACAGACTCTGCGTCTGCCTACGTAAAGGCAGGCAACACTTTGGCCCATCCTCACATGCGCCCTGAGTACAGACGGATTACGTGACTTCCCTGTGCAGCGCATGCGTGCAACAAATTGTTGTCGGACATCGGGACAGCGGGCCCGTGGTGCGTAGACATCATTGTGCGGGCGAGAGCGGTGGTGCATTTCATAAAAATGCATGGCCGAGCTGATTTTTTGTTCAGGAGAGAGAGTCGCCATCTAGGTTTGTTGTACTCTTGTGAGACTCGCTTCGCTTCTGTATACGCCATGCTAGAGCGTTTGTCTGTTGTGCAGCGTCCTTTGGAGCGGATGGTGGATGGGACAGACTGGTGCAGGGAGCCTTGGGCGACTTCGTCGATCAGGCAGCATGCGCGATGGGTGCGGTGGCAGATCTGGCATGGCAGTTGGTGGGACTCCATGGACATCTTGCGTGCGGTTATGGAACCGGCTTATGATCTGCTGCGCAAAATGGATCGTGGAGGGTTGTGCATGTCCCGAGTGGTCGAGTGGACTGGACGGCTGGCGAGGGAGGTGGAGGCAGTTGTTAGACCGCTGGAGGGCGGATTGGCGGATCAGATTTTCAGGTGCGTGCAGGAGCGCGTCGCTCATATGTGTGAGTCTGCGCATGCTGCGGCGCACCTCCTTTGTCCGATGAGGAGGTCGATGCAGTATTACAGCGGCATGGTGAAGGACGAGGACAACGACTTGTGAGGGAGGCGGAGCGGTACATTCTGTCGCAGACCGGGTTTGATGAGCGGCGGAAGGAGTACCGAGACACTGTGCTGCAGCTGCGGGACTTTCATATGCGCACATCGACTTGCGCATGGGGAGGGGAGTGGGCACGTGTCGCAGCAGAGATGTGTGTCGGAGAGCAGGAGACCGTTGAGAGTGGTCTTTGGTGGTCACAATATGGCGGCTGTGCTCCTGAGCTTCAGCGTATCGCTCTTCGTGTGTTGTACATGTGGACGTGCTCCTCTCCCGCAGAGCAGAACTGGGCCATTCACGAGAGTATTCACACGAAGAAGCGTAACAGGTTGCTGTTCCCGAAGGTCGTGAAGTTGGTGGAAATCACGACCAACACGCGACTTTTGGCTCTTCAGAGCGGTGGTGGAGGTTTGGTTCTTCCGTGGACTCAGGATGAGTCCATATTGGATGCCGAGGGTGGCTTGGAGGCAGACTCTGTATGCGAGGGGGTGGACCACATCATACCCGAGGAGGACCGCGATGCGCAGGCGCAGTTGTGGCAGCGGGATGCTTGTGGCTCACGACCACCGCCTCCCGTTGAGGACGTGTTCGGGGTTCGGGCCGCCACTTTGAGGCCGTACCCGAGAGATGACTCGAGTGGAGATGAGCGCGAGGAGGCGGATGAGGGTTTCCTCCCCCGCGGCGCTAGTGCTGCCCGGCGTGCGGAGGACGACGATGACGCTTGGAGTGACCCTGAGGAGGTTCGTCGGCGTAGTGGTGGCATAGATTTATTCGAGGACACAGCTAGGGGCAGGTTTGGAGTCGAGGGATGCTGGGACGGATCTGGGAGCCCTATTGTCGAGCCGATTCCTCATACCTCATCGCCGACCGTACATGGGGCAGAGGGGGACATAGCAGGCATGCGAGGAGCCCATCACAGAGAGGGTCCGAAAGGCAAGGGCTCATTAGCCAGCGGTGAGGATTCAGAGGGGCGTGGAGGAATTGTGAGGCTTTTGCGGCTTCGGAAGGGTCCGAAGGTCGCAAAGAGACAACTCATACTAGGTTCTGAGTCACCGCCGTCACGTAGGGGTGCCACTGGTGCGGGGACAGGGGGAGCGGAGATCGAAGACGCAGGACACGATCGTCCGACAGACGACAATAGAGAGATAGGCACGGGAGATGTGGCCAGAGGTGTTGCTTGGTCGCTAGGGGACAATGGGACGCTAGGCGCTCTGCCTGGTAGTAGCACGGGTCACGCGGAGCAGTTTGATGATGCCCATCATGAGGGGGTGCCACAAGATGAGGCAGTTGGTGATGGGGACCATGCTTTGGAATCAGCGTCCATGCGCGATTTCATGGCCGAGCTAGAGGACACTCTGCCATCCATGACGGAGGGTGAGTCTATTGTTGCGCGACGGGCCGACGACGAGGATGTTTGGCCTCGGCCACAGACAATTCACATGGGAGTGCCTGCACCCAACACCGAGGAGGAGCGGATGGCTCGAGAGGCGAGGGAGGATGAGGAGGAGGCCGCAAGGGCCAAGGCCCTAGCCGATGCTGACCCACGCACACAGGCCATGGCACGTGACATGGAGGCCATGCGTAAGTTAGAGACTGGGGGAGAAGGACTGCGAGGCGATGTGGCGGAGGATGACCAGATGGAGGCAGCTGCCCACATTTCCCGAATCCCAAATTGTTGCTGCATTCGTGACAATAACAACTGTCCTCATCCCAGTGCCGTACCTGGAAACTAACATCCCAGCAAAAACCCAACTGTTATGGTCATCATCATTACGAACAAGTCGCAAGTTTGATCCATAGCAGTGTAAGAACTGCTCCAAGATACGCACTGCCTTTACTTGGCCTTGTCGCCCTACTACAGCAATGCAAATAGTAACATCGTCAACCACCCGAAACCCACGCACTAAACACCGATCAGCTCCGAGGTTCTGGAGAAAAGAAAACTCAGCGTAAGTGCACAAAATACAAGCTAGCGGGCAACTGGATGACTTTCCCATAGGTACACCTACCACCTGTCTGAGCAACTGTCCTGCAGCTCGGATGAAGGTAAAGCAGAGATCGAAACGTACAATTTTCCTAACATCATGGAGAGAAACATGCAAACATTCATTCCTAGTCCCCCCATATGACAGCCAAACTTTCTTTCCTCTTTTCGCCACTTGCACCCCCTTGCACCCTTTACTATCATAGTAATCCGTAAGCTAGTCGACTGCCCGGAGAACATCCGTGTGCGCGAGAGATACGAACATGTCCTTAACATCGAACGACACTGGCACCAAATCGTGATAGTGCTTCTGACGAAAGTCGCGGTCCATAGCCTGCATCCCAGGCAGGACATGCATGACCGCTTTGAGGTTGAATCCTGTATTAGCCGCCAATGCAAACAGAAGTGCATTTAAAGCAGTTGCAGCCCTGGAGCTAGCCAACCTAGTGGGTTCTGTGCAAGTAGGTGAGATAGGGCGCCATCTGGACAAGTCCTTGTGCTTTGGCAGGACATAGGCTTCCTCGAATCGTCCCCCCACATCCCACTTCCCGAGTTTATGCAAACTCAAGTCCAAGAAAACCTCCCGCATACGAAAAAGCACATCACTTTCCCCATAGTTCACAGCTCGAAAGGACAGATTCCAATTAAACGACATGTCCAAATAGTGCCTATAGAGCACCGGGCATACAACCAGTGTATCAGCTGTGTTCCTATCGATCGGGATACAGACAAAGTTCTTGAGACGAAGGAACCACTGATTCAGATAAAACAAGTACGCCTCATCCTCACCTTCCAATTGTAGATCCCAACATCCCTCCAATTCACATTTGTCCACCACGTACGAAGACCTCAGGTAGCTGGCTATCCGAACGATCTGTTTGCCCAGCTCCAACATCCAATGCTTAGGGAGCACACGTGGCACATTGCGAGAATTCCTGAGAAAATCGGGTATCCCCGGTATGCCTCTTATCCGAGTCATAACATGCAACCCCGAATGCTCCCAACCAGGCTCCAAGTGGCAACGACAAGCCCAATCATCATAATTCTCTTTTCCCAATTTCTGCACCGTACGAAAATACCCACAAATCGGCACATTTTTACGCCACAAGAAACGAATCTTCCTTTTAAGTAACCCTGCAATTGCCTGCGGTAATGCCGAGTTCGAGAGCACCCTCAAAATCACAGCATGAACCTTGGCCGTATCGATACGATGATCATAGCGCAATTTCACAACCAATCGGTGACGCACGTCAATACCAATTCTCCGCTTAATGGCCCGAGCCACAATTCCTTTAAGGACTATCCTAGTCTGCTTTCCGGAAAACTCGCGAGCACCCTTAAACTAGCGAACCAGCAAAGAAACAGGTTTAAACCTCAACAAGCGCCGCCTCCAAGGTTGGAGAAGAAGAAGTAACATGAGCTGCCCCTTATGGATAGCCCGACCATTAGGTGTGAAAAGAATTGGACCCAACTCCCAGACCCCACCTCTTTGAAGTACCGACTTAGCCTCCCTCACAGGTAGACTCAAGGAACCCAGCCTAACCAGAGTAAGCCCGAAGCATCTTCACACCAATGGCCAACCATCAGGCCACAAGTTTCTTGCAGAGAATTCGATGGATAGCTTCTTTCTGTTAAGTACCACCGCCTGCCTTAACAACATCAAAAGACTATCCGACCATTGGCCATCAACCTTCCTGACTTTAACTAAGCCGACATCCGTATCACTAATCTGTTTTCCGCGTCTCTTAATCCTTCCTGGCCTAGAGTTGCGAGCAGATCGCCGCACAGACCGCCTATAATTCAAAATTGGAGAAAAATTCTTAATAATCGCAAATTCCACAGACTGCACAGAGATTACCCCATTCACAAGCGGCACACTCAGATACTTCTCAATACCAACCATACGAATCCATCGATACAATCTAGGACAAACCCCCGATCCTTAATTTTAACCGTTCGAATATGCTCTGCCCATCTAACATAGATTCCTCGCGTAGAGGACCCCACATACTGTGCCTTAATCCAAGGGGACGCTAACACATATACAACGGGACCAATATCCCAAGAATCCCAATTGACATTAAGAAGTAAAGATACGAACTAACCCATCCATAGTACCTCACCCAAAATAGCCAGAGCCACGAAGCAGAGAGTCGCACACTTATCATATAGCAGTCGAAGATGAGAGGATCGTTGCTCATACCAAAGCTGATTGCGCAAACGCATACAATCGACCAAATTCTGCCGTAGCCAGACACACACAAAATGAGCCATACAATTGCCAGGAGTATCCTCCTCCTCCGGTATGGATGGAGGAGAAGGCGTTGGAACGAAGACAAAACCTTCATAGGCAATTTTAACCCGTCCCTCGATTATCTTCTCAATCATCGGCGCTTTAGTAGTGTATTCCACCCCCTCCGCTGCACAGATGACTTTGAGTTGTTCCTTGTTCTTACCAGTAAGAAGTCGGCGCTGCTGAAGCACGTACACCAAGACTCCCTTTGGTCCGCTTCCAGCCGGAATCTTCGTTCGCTGCCGTTCCTCCGCCTTCCTTGAAGATTCTGCTCGAGGAGTATTGACAACTGAACCGTCATCCTTGTGAAAGATCGGCTGACGAAACGGCCTACGACCCATACTAACGGGTTCCTTGCCCTTCCTCTTCTTTTCTCTAATCTCATACAACTTAGCTATCTCATCCTCAATTTCTTCAATACCCTGGTGCTCATAATCAGCAACCTCCCGTTCTCTCTCCCGAATGATCACTCCCGGAGTTCGACAAACTGGAGATCGGATCTCTTCTTGCCTTGCCTCCTCCCGAGAGACGAGGTATTGCCGGCCGATCTTAGACAAACCCTAGCCTCGAGCGCTTAGAAATTCCTCTCAATTTCTTGTTTGATTAGCTCATCCATCTTGCGTTTCTCATCAAGCTCCCGTTTACGCACTTGCTCCTCCCTCTTCTCTTGAATGAGCTGCCTAAAAAATTCACGCTCCTCGTTGTCGTTCTGATTTCGCCTAGGGGTCCAATACCGATTGTTAGCAGGAGTGGATACATTAGAGGCTCCGCCACCCGATTGTTGCTGGCGCTGGGAGGGACATTCCCTCGCGAAATGTCCCTCCCCTCCGCAGTTGAAACACTTGTTGCCAGATGACGTTATTGCTGATCGTCCGAGCCAACCCACCAGGATTCCTGTAAGTACGAGTACCCAAGTCTTCAAACTGATACCGGACGCAAAGGTCCAATGATAAGCGGTGGTACTTCCAGCAACGCGGAAACCAATCGCCCTGTACCTTACTAAATATCGAAAAAGGAGAGCCGTCCCAGAAATCCCAACCTTAAACATCCGAAGGTGATGCGAACATGCCAAAGAAAACCATCAAACCAGGTTTTAATCTACACGTACAAAGATCTGGATACGATCCAGCTCGTCCACGAACACTATAATCTGAACAAGAGTATCCGCCTCAGGGAACCATAAGGCGCATTTCACTAGCATCCTATCCATAGTATCATGACCACCGTGACCACCACGCAATGTATGACCGCACTACAGGTTGTCACGTATATCGGTAAAGAGAAGACAGTCCGGCCAGACTGCCCAAGCATGAGAACGGAGGAGCAAAATACACCAATATCAAATATTCTATTGCGCACGCCAAGTACAAGCAATCAAGAACGAGTGCAATCAGAGGCAAGACGAAAGATACACCCATACAATATCGACCTGAAGAGAAGCACGAATCTGATTGCCAAAAACAAAAACCCAGTCATGCGGCCAATACCTCGACGCGTTTCGTCTGTCCCGCAAACAGACTCATCAGGAGGAGATTACTACTACCATCCTCATCCACCCAATCAATCTTGGAGGCCATACCTAGGCCTTGCCTCCTTTATATACTATCATCCTAAACATAGGATTCGTGAAAACCTAACAAAACAAATTGTTAGGTTTGCACGAAATCTATTAAAGATTATGATAGTACGTTTTTCAGGTCTCCTCCAAGAACAAAAATTCTACGTGAAGTGAAACTTCCGTAAAAAAAAGAACAGAAAATTAATTTTTCAGAACTATTGGAGGGGGCGAGGAAAAACGCAGGTTTTTTCATAGAAAATCACGATCTGGTGAAGCACTGCAGGTTCAAGAACTGAAATATCCTGATTTTTTGTTATCCAAAAAAATTGTGTTTATAGTCCTATAAGATGTGTAGCATGATGAATTTATTCGGGGGTTTTCCGAACGCGCAAACATATTCTCCTGTTCGTGAATACGTTCGCTTGAACATGATTTCCCATACATGGGCGAATATATTATTTTTTATTGTTTGGTTTAATATTTTTCTCTATATTTTTATTTTAAACTCGTGTTTGGCCATGAATTTCAAGGTGTCTCCGAGACAAAAGTTGTTTGTATTCTCATTTTAAATGACATATATTTTTTGTTAAGGGTTTAATTATTAAGTTCAAAAATGATTTATAGTCCTATAAATTATTTTGTGCAGAGCTTGACTTTTACCTAACTGCGGAAACTGACTTATAGTCCTATAAATGAGTATTCACCAAAACACGTTTTTTTTTACATCTTTCAAGTTTGCCTTGTCATCCTTAAAAATTACCCTGTTTGAACTTTGTTTTTTTGCCAATCTACTAAGAATGACTTATAGTCATATAAAAGGATTTTGCAAGGAAGAGTTTTCTTGCACATTTTGAGGAACGCTAGACTTTTCACCTGATTTTTTGCCTCGTTTATTGCAAAACGATTAAAAACGCTCTCTTTTTGTGTAAAAAATAACAGTTTGACTTTTACTTTTTCATTCTATAAGAAATGTTAGGTTTTCTCCGATTGTGAGGTTTTCACGAATCCCCTGTTCCTATCCCTACTCTTTCCTGATCCATACAGTAGATAGATGGCATGACGGCCAAACTACCCCAAAAACTGCCAAGAATACAGTAGACAAACCCGTTCCCCTCAGCCTGAAGTCCAAACAACCACGGTTGATCTGCCTTCTCTTCCCGCGAGATGAGTAGCATGAACACTGATATATGGCTTAGAGCTCCTTGCAACTATATGCTGTACAACAAGAACTACTTTGAAGAAGAAGAGGAGCTCGGACAGACCTGCACAGCCACCAACAAGCACCAAACACACAACAACAGCGCACACAAAGAGAGTGCAACACTGAATTCGTGAAAACCTAACAAAACCACAAAACCTAACATTTTTTATAGAATGAAAAAGTGAAAGTCAAACTCTTATTTTTAACACATAAAAGAGAGCGTTTTTAATTGTTTCTTGAGAAAGGAGGCAAAAAAATTGGCAAAAAGTCTATTGATTCTCAAAATGTGCAAGAAAATCATTTCCAATAAAAAAACATGTTATAAGACTATAAGTCGTCTTCAGTAGATTGAAAAAAAAAAAAAAAACATAGCTCAAACAAGAGAATCTCTAACGACTGCAAGACGAACTCCAAAGACGTTAAAAAAAACAGTTTCAGTGAATACTCACTTATAGAACTATAAGTCGTTTTCAGCAGTTTGGTAAAAACCAAGTTCTGCGAAAACTAGTTTATAGAACTATAAATTAATATAATCCATTTTTAAGTTTACTGTAAAATCCTTGTCAAAAAATATATGTTATGTAAAAGAAGAATTCAAACAACGTTTGCCTCGGGGACATCTTCAAATTCTTAGCCAACCACAATTTAAAATTAAAAAATGGAAAAATATTTAAATAAAAAATGTTAAAAAATAATATATTCGTCCATGTATGCAGGAACATATCCAAAAGAATGTATTCGTGAATAGGAGAATAGTTTCATCGTGCTTCACACCTTATAGAACTATAAATTTGATTTAAAAAAAAAAAAAAGGGATATTTCGAATCTTGAAGAAACAGTGCTTTGTAACAAAGTGATTTTTTTGTAAAAAGACTTGCTTCTCTCCTCACCACTTTCAGTGGTTTTGAAAAAGTATTTTTCCATTCATTTTTTACGGTTAATTTACTTCACATAGAATGTTGTTCATGTAGGAGGTTTGAAAAATGTACTATCAGAATCTTTAAAAATTTTCGTGCAAACCTAACAATGTTTTTTGTTAGGTTTTCACGAATTTTATGTTGTGCCTGTATCATCTCAGACAACAAAGCTGGTAGTCACCCTGCGCTGCGCCGTCGCCAGCGCATCTCACAACCGTCACGACACGATCAAATGTCGAAGTATGAGACGAGCAAAACTGAGAGCACGTCGTTTATACTCACATCACCAGTTCGCGGGGTCCCTGGTGGGACTGTCATCCCGCGTGCACAGAGTGGGTACCGTATTCGAAGAGGTCAGATCATCAGTTGCTGCTAAGGGTCGCACTGTACCAGTCAGGTTGTACGGACGTACTAGTAGAATCGGCCCCAAAATGCTACTGAACAAAAAATCCGACGGCTTTCATACTCCAAAAGCAAAAATACAAAGTAAATACGAACCTGACCCTGAAAACGTACCAGATCCCTTCGTACTGAACAAAGGACTAAGAAAAATCCGATTCTGAACCCAAAGAATCACGCCAGATCCTAAGGAAACAAAAGAACGGTCACTAAAAAAAACAGAAGCAAGCCTGCGAGATACGGAAGGTACGTCACGAGTGGGTAGCCCCAAGAAAATTACAGGGCCTGAGAGGCCTGCTTGGCAAAATGCCAAGCCCCTCCCGAATATGCGGTCCTAGGTGACTCAATATTTTAGTATTTCGCTCATCTGCTTGGCACCTATGCGGCCCTAGGTGACTCAATATTTTAGTATTTCTCTCATCTGCTTCCAACGGATTTCAAATTGAGATCTGTATTTCCACAGTCCTTGTGTGTACCAACTGAGCTAGGCCCGTAGGTGCCAGTCCCACAGGGCTGATTTTCAACAGTTGGTGGGTGTACCAACTGAGCTAGGCCCACAGGTGCTGGTCCCACAGGCCCGTTTTTCAACAGTTCGTGGGTGTACCAATTGAGTTAGGCCCACAATTGGTCATACCAGAAAGGAAAAAATTAGCCCCCTGGTTCCATCGGGCACTCTTCATTGCTCCCCGCTGTGGTGCCTGACCGAGCCGAACCGAGGCCGCACCAGTGTCGTATGGAGGCATGCCAGCGGCCTAGGTCCTATGGGCCCTCGGCTCAATGGTGGAAAGGCGTTAAAGGGCAGCACGGTTGGAGAGCAGTTGAAAGGTCGGCCTTTTCCCCTAGTGGTCGGGCAAAGAATTCCCGTTTTTCTTCTTCACATACCGCGGTTCCCACTTATCGGACTCAACACACAATGAAACAAAACAAAAAAACTATATAACAAAAATTAATAAACAACCCAGAACTACTAACTGAACCTATGAGACCGCGGCTCCGCAAAATCAAGCACCCGCCATTGTTCCACCTACGCAAGGCGTCGCTCGCCCACTCGACATGGTTTACCAGAGCGTCGTGAATCAAGCCTTGAAATAGCGGTTGGTCCCGTTGTCGGCCAGTGCAGCTTCACACAAGGACCCTTTAGCTTCAACCCTGGCTAGGCCCACTCCTGTACCAATTTCTGGTCCGACTGCCGACTTGGAGGGCCCAACCCCTACTACAGGCTTCAGGTTGCCTCAGTTCTGCCTGTTCAGCCCTTCACCGGGGGTTGTCTGGACTCAGTTTTGTACCTATGGGTGGAGTCCTTTCATATCTTGGCACGATCCGAACATCAATCAGGAGAGCAGTAGCGCGAGCTAACCCACAAGTCGTCTCAGGTTGCCGAACCCTGGCTTACAAATGGGCTGGACCGAAAGCATAGTTTTTTTTGTTTTTTTTTTACGGTTCTTTTATGAGAGCGACCGACCAAAGCGAGACCCCCATAGACCAGCCCTCATCCCCCTCCCTTTCTTTCTCTCTCTCTCTCTCTCCTTCGCCTTCCCTCCGGTTGACCAGACCGGGCAGACCCCACATAGAAAGATTCACTAGGCAGATTTGGGGACTTTCGCAACTAGTGGTTAGTATAGCCTCTACATTCAGCACGCAACCCTGACTCATGCATAACGATTGTAAACCGGAAATTCCCCACCTTCCATAAGCTAGTCAGACGAGCACACAAGAGATCTGCATTATGAGCATCGTGCGTCACTAGAAACTTCTCAGTAGCACAAGGCTTCGACTTTCACACACTCTAGCATTCGCTCACCCTTTCGCTCTTACGCACTCTTGTCCCCTCCTGTACACGTTCACGTACACCCTCTCTTTTTTGATAGCGAAGCACCACTTTCCTTCCCCCGGAACTGGACCAGACACTTTCACCAGACAACCGAAGCCACCCCCAAAAATACCGCTCGTGCGGAATGGAGTTCCCTCTCTCTCTCTCTCTCTCTCTCTCTCTCTCTCTCTCTCTCTCTCTCTCTCTCTCTCTCTCTCTCTCTTTCTCTCTCTCTGTGTTTTGCTAGCCCGTTTCCTCTCACGTCCTCAGTTACACTCCCCTGCTCACTTTCTCGCTTCCCTCACTCACCTCCTTGCTTGCTCGTCTCCGCTCGTCTTTTTGCTTGTTATGTTGCTCGGACGCTAGCCCGCTTCCAACCTTCGCCTTGCGGAACAGAGCGTTGTTCTCGATGTGCCAGACCGTTTTCTTGGTCAGGTGCTTTTGGAAACCGATCGCACACCGTCTCGAATGCCTTTCGCTCTTTCCCTCTCTCTCTCTCTCTCTCTCTCTCTCTCGCTCTCTCTCACTTCACCTCACCCCGCCTAGCGCAAATGACCTCGAAAATCTTAGTTCGCCGATTTCCGACCAGCGCCGAGGAGGAGTCGCGGCAAGCCTCGACTTCCCTTTCCCCCTTACACATACACTCGCACTTGCCCAAGCCCGCAAGCTTGAACGAACAAAGCTCTAGGCGTAGCGGGGTTCATTCAGTCAGACATACTTTATCTCGGAAGCAGCTGTCAGCTCCGATGCTCTCCTCCCCCTTCCCAACCCCCACTCCGCTATGCCCCGTTCGTGCCCGTGCGGTCTCTCCGCCGTTCTGTCCCTCTCTCTCTCTCTCTCTCTCTCTCTCTCTCTCTCTCTCTCTCTCTCTCTCTC